AGATTGGGCCTGCATTCAGAATGAAAAGGTGCACCTCTTTTCGTTGAAAGAGTGTTTCTTTTTGGTATTTGAAAGGATGTCTTTTCGATAGATCTAGTGAAAAAGTACCTTTTCTGTGTCGAAAAGTATCTCTTTGGGTCCTCAGGACGGCGCCTGTGTTGTTTCAAATAGCACCTTCCTTATTGAAAGGGAATATTGACGCATTTGCATAATTGTCATAACCGAACAATTAAGAAAAATTAGATCAAGATTTTAAAATTTATTACTAAATCTCATTGGACCTGCGAGTATGCAAGTTGATTTTCATTTTTAGTTTGAATACCGAACTAACTAGACGAAGACAAGCAATGCTATAGTGATATCCAGAATAAAAGCAAGATAATGAAACATACAAGAACAAATCTTGATGTTTTATGTCATTTTATTATGTCAAACATGCAAATTATACCTGATGGCGACGATCATTACAATGTAAGTGATTCGGAAACATTTTCACAAGGTCACTTCATCCCCCTCACCTGAGCACTATCATTCAAAGTTAAAATCATATAGAGACATGTCATGCATTCAACATATACCAGCCAAAATTTGAGAAGAAAGTGCAAATTACAAATCCACAGAACTAGTGTAACAGTAACAGCACTCCAGATGTGAACATGAATTTATGTTGTGTGTGAACAGAAAAAAAAAAAAAGTAACATAATTTCATTCACTCTGGTAAAAAATACACTGGTAACACAACAGCAAGCATTTTAACTGCACTCATGGCACAAATTTAATCCGTTGCATCCTCTTTCTCTACTGTGAAAGGTTTGTCAACAGGCAGTTCTCCACAGTCTGCGATGATGACTTCCTTCTGTGGTTTATCTCTAGAGTCAGTGTTGCCGTTCTCAATCTTCCTGACCACAGACTGTATTGAAGAGAGAAAAGAAAACGCAACGAATGTAAAACAATGCAATTATTAAAATTTTCAAAACAAATAGTATTCCCACTTTTTGAGACGTCGTTGCCTCAGAACTATTTCGTTCAAAGTGCCTCTTTACTTAAGTACACTTTGGACAAAATAGTTCTGAGGTGACGACTTGCTGGCACGTCAGATAATTTAATCCAGAACGGTCAAGAAGAAACACTACAACTGAAACTTCTTGTGCACATGTATGCTACAATGAGCTCTTTCCAAAAGGACAATGTCTGAGATGGCTCCATACAGCGAGCCTTCTACTCCATAAAACTGGCATGTTGCAGGTGCAACTAGTCGCTTTTAATCACAAGGGGGCTATCCCGAAAAATAATGTTTTGAGAAAAACGAAGGTGAAGTTTTTGCCCCTTGTTCAGTTTCTTTAAAAGAAGGAAAGTTTTATCTATCTAAACAAATATACACACAAATGAAACCAAACTTCTCCTATGGGTAGGACAATGCCCACTTCTGGTGTAGGTCAAGATTTCTGGAAACCCCTGAAATCTGGGTTAGCCCGCTTGTCCTTAAAAGCGACCACCAATTTTGGTGAAAGTAAGCTCAAAGAACACGAGGTGGCCTACCAATGCAGAGTCTGGAACAAATTATATTCTTTTGAATTTTCGTACAACTTTTTGACTTCCTTGTTTAAGTTCCAAAAGATATTTATAAGTCTTTTCTTTTCCCTTTCTGACCATACCTTCACAATGAAAAACCACACTGACACACATATGTACACAAACATAATTCACAAACCATACGGTCCAATGCAGCACCATAATGTCTGTGCCTTACAACTTGTATGTATAGTATAAGGTTTTACGACGCTCGCAACTGCTAAGGTCATATGAGCGCGCCTTACAACTTACAAACACTACACTAAGGTAAAGTGCAATGACACATCTCGATACCAGCACTCTGACTTGTTCAGTGTCAAAGCAAGAGAAAAGAAAAGAGTGATGCAGATGTGCCAAACCACCAATTATAGAAAAAAACCCAAAAATTTTTCTTACTTCAGATCAAAATCATGATGACGTAAACAACACTGGTCAATGCACACCACCAGCCCCTCTTGTGAAATCACTTCCCAATCCAAAGAGCCTACCTTCACATACAAACAATTGCACACACACACACATAATATAGTTCACACACAATATGGCCCAATGCAGTACAGTCCATGCCGGCTTTAAGCACGGTCGGCGGGAGAAAGCTTAAGCGTGCTTAAAGCCAAAGCGTGCTTGAGTGCGAAGTAGACATAATCCAGAGATTTTCATGTAGAAAATTTCCCGTGCTATTTCCCTTTGTTTGTAAGTAGGCCTATAGCGGTCCCGCAAAAGTGTGCACTGTTATTTAGACACCCGCCATGGTAGTTTTTGTTCTGTGGTCGAATGGGAAATGAAAACATAATTTAGACGGCCAGTCACGATACAGCACACTAGGCCTACACACTACCTGTGCGTACCACTGCCCGCTGTGCCACTCATACCACCGCCTTCATCCCACCTCGCGTGTGATACATGTACACAATCAGGATTAATGGATAGCGAGGGTCAAAGGTGAAATCGCAGCCAGCCCCCCTTTCTCGTCTCCGCGACTCTCTTTGTATTTTTTTTGGTCGTGTCTAGCTTTGCCCTAGGCCTAGGCTAGATCCTATGTCCGCGTGCGGCTGTGTGCATCTGCCTTCCTCTCCGCCCGTGTGAGTGTGTGTGTCCATCACTTGCGTTCTTTGTGTTTCTCTTGACACACTCCACTGCTGCGGTGTAGACTGTGTTCGAACTTCGATGGGTCATCATGAAAATATTGACTGTCTTGTAAATGAAGCGTGCTTGAAGCCGAAGTTACCGTGCTTAAAGGCGTGTAATTTATATAGCAAAAATTCGGTAAGAGCCATTTAGCATGCTTAAGTCCGAAACATGCTTAAAGCCGGCACGGACTGTACTGCATTGTCTGTCTTTGATCATACCTTACCACCCAGCACCCACCTTACAAGTAATGTGCGATGATGTTTCTCAATACCCAGAGTATGTGTATCATGTATTTTTTTGGTTTGTTTTGGTAAAAGTTTTGCAGCGCTTGCAACTGCATAAGCTCATATGAGCACGTGGGACACATTAAACATTTTTTTTAGTTTGGTAGGAATTAATTTTGAAATTTGCGCGGGTAGCAGCTGGAGCCTTGATCTATTTCGGTCCAGCAGAGGACCTTTAATGTGCGCAACTTTCACATGGGACCTTCGAGATTTTTTACCCTTATCCTTGAAGGCTAGGTGTTAGATCTTACTTACCCTTAGATCAAGGGTGTGGCTGAAAGACAGCAGTTAAAAGGAGTCAAAGAGTAACAGTAGAAAGGCTGCAGAAGGCCAGGAGCCCAGAAGAGGGGGCAAAGGGGGAGGAGAGTGGGGGCAGAAAGTGGAGACCCCCGGGGTAGTGCCACTGACTGTAGTGTCTTTAGGCCATTCCCAAAGGGGGGACATTTCTCGTTCAAGCACAGTAGAATTGTAAATGGGCTGATTCATCATGTCTCGCTCATAACTGTGCCTGATCTACAACTGAGAACTGCTGCTTTTTCCTTCCTAATCCTTACTATTGTCATTTTTCCTCTACTTCTTTTGTATGTTTGTCACTCTCTTGTGACCTGCCATTTTTGGGGTGCCTTGATAGTCGAAGCAGACTTTCTGCTGTTGAAGCTAGAGAGGTGAGCAGAATAAGTCTGATTCCCTGTAAAGACTTCTCTGTTGACACCCACCCCTTGGCGCTCATATGACCTTATGCAGTTGCGAGCGCCGTAAAACCCTCTACTATATATATATATATATTATACTATATATATATATGTAGAAAGTGGAGACAAAAAGCAGACAACAGAACATGGTTAGAGAGCTGGAACGGAGGTGAAAGAAGAAAATAGAAAAAAAAAATTTCTATCGCTGTCAGGACGCATTGAATGAGAGGCGAACACTGTAACCTCTAGACCACGAGAACCCCCCAATGTGTATCATGCCATGCAAGGGTGTGTGTGATGGGCTCATGTAATTTGATAAGCTCAATGACAGCCAGCCTGTTGTTTTGCTTTGTCTCCCGAGGTAAAGAATGTGAGACAATGTGAGAACAAAATTTGATCTGGTTTTTTGAGACAAGCTGTTCGACCTATCTGTATGGACATTTTAGAAATCTTATAACAATACAAAGAAATTACAGCAGTTTAGTCGGAGAATGGCAAATTGTACGAGCTATCTGTGATTTCAATTTTTTGAGTTCGTGTAATCTGTGCCCCACTATCTCATGTTGGAAATGCAGGAGTTTGGTGGGTTTTTGTTTTTTTTACCTTTCCTACCATAAGATCAGGGGTGTGGCAGAAAGACAGCAGTAAGAAGGGGCCAAGGAGTAGTAGTAGAAAGGCTGCAAAAAGAGTCAGGAACAAAGAGAAGGGGGCAAAGGAGGTGAAGGGGTGGGGGCAGAAAGTGGAGATGAAAGCAGACGACAGAACATTGCTAGAGAGCAGGAAAGGAGGTGAAAGGAGATAATTTTAGAGAAATTTTTTTTTTTGTCCCAACCCAAATTCGAACCCAGGACCTTTGAATGAGAGGCAAACACCTTAACCTCTAGACCACGAGAGCCCCTGAAATGCTTGAGAAGAGGCAGCAAACTAAACAAGTAAAGGTCCCCCTTCTTTACTAATTTTCAGATTTTTTGCGCACCCCACCCCCCCTCCGTTTACTATTTTCCAGCTTGCACGACCGACGATCATGTGAAACATTATATCCAGTCTAAGTAGAATCTAGATATCTGAATGAAACTTCTTTTTTTTAAAATGGCAAATTACCCTATGTACAAGTACTGCTTCTGGGTTGGCTACCTCAATTTTCTGTGCCTTTTAAAAACTTTTGTACATTGGTTTATATTTTTTTATGAAACTGGTTTGTTCCCAAACAGGAAAAGTTGTCACAGTAACTTTTTCAAATTTCATGATCTCTTTTTTTATTCACTGAAGGAAAAGTAAAACAGATTTGTTCCTACTAGTACAGGAATATGAGATTAAATGTGCCACCCAGACCCCCCCCCCTTTATTAATTTTGGACCACTTGTCCACCCCCCCCCCCTTTATTCGATACCTTAGAGTAGGATATAGAGCTCATTTGTAAAGGAATTGGAATATGTGGCGATTGGGTTAAAAAGCCGGGTTCAGTCAGCTCAGTAAGAGTTTTACGGCGCTCGCAACTGCATATTTAAAGTCGTATGAGTCGAAACACAAGTTGGTTGCATTCACGACAGTTCATAGCACGGCTTGATTTAGGAAAATATTTCGATTAAAATGTAAACAATTTGTGGTAAAATCTTAGTTTTAAAATAACATTTTAATTTAAATAATATTAAAATAACGAAATTACAGTTTACTATAAAGGCCAATGGCCTTAATAAAATGAATTCTGTTGGGATCAAAGATGGAGAACACATCCTTTAATTTTGAGAATTTAAAATATTTCCTTCGGGCCTCTCCAAAGTCTGAACATTTTGTTAAGATGTGTCTTATCGTGAAATCTGTATCGCATCCATCACAAAAGAAGGGTTTAAATACCCTGAACAAAACCTCATTCTATGTCCCTGCATGTGCAGCTATCTTGAATACATAAACTTTTCAGTAAAAACTTAACTGACCCTGTCATTTTTCCTTGTTTAATAAAATAACAGGGTTCTATTTTGCATATTGGAGATAAAATATTTAAACAACACATACCATGCCCTTGACAACTTTTCCAAAAACAACATGACGGCCATCCAACCAGGGAGTCTTCTTCACGGTGATGAAAAACTGTGATCCGTTTGTGTCAGGACCTGCATTAGCCATGGACAACCATCCAGCTCCATAGTGCTTCAGCTTGAAGTTCTCATCCTTGAACCTGTCACCGTAGATGCTCAGTCCTGAAGAGGAAAGTCGAAAATAAAAACATGAGTGTTTGAGATTGTGACACAAGAACCACTACTATCTGAATCTCTAGGTCTTGTAGAAACACAAAATTTAAAATAAACTGATGGATGGACGAAAAATCATATAAGCCCCCCCCCCCCCCCCCCCCCAAATTTTTAAAAAATGAATCAGAAAAATAAAATCAAAGCCCCCTCAAAGACTTGCCACAGCCTTTTCCCATGAAATTAGTAATTGTACTTCATGTATATTATCACTGAAACCACTTTCTTGAAACTAAATTGAAAACTTATTGCAAAACAAAAATGCATGAAGATTCCACAGCAAAAAAATTAATGGAAAAAAGATTTAATTTTCCCCTCAAAGCTTCTCAAGCCTGCCCACTCCCTTTCCAATGACTAAATAGCTGAGCCGATGTGTTGCTTTACCATTTGCAGACCTGCAGACACTCCGTGATTAGAAAGAACAGCTTTCCTTTAAAAAAAAAAAAAAGCAGTTTTGAAAAGACAAAATATAGTTCCTTGCACCCTAGTAGATTAAGATTACATAACAAGCTGAATTTGGCGAAGAGTATACCAAATTATGCAAATAAAAATGTGTCCATTCATACTATTTACAAGTCACGCGGATAAATAATGCAAATAAACATTTATTTTCAAGCCATTTAGGATGTTGCATACAACCTGATGAAACTAGAATTCAATTTTTTTTAAAAGATCTTAAGCAAATCTGATTGGGGTTCTTCAACAGGGGGGAAACACCCAAACCAGGACAGCTCTGATTATACTAGAGTACTTAGCAGGTCCGCATTTGTCAAATTTTGGCGGAAAAAAAAAATTGGTACACTTTGAACAAAAGAGTTGAGTAAAGGCACATCCAAATGCTATTGAGATCAGAAATTTTAAAAAAGGAGGAAATTCACGTGAAGGCGTACGCGCGCTCTCCGAAACCAGTGAGATCCAGAGGCAATATATACTGGAAAATCTAGCCTACGGTTTTGGAAGGGAAAACTGTCATATTGTGAACCATATGCAACTGAATAAAAAAATATTTGAAAAAAAACAAAAAACATAAAGGCAGTAAGTTGACTAACAAGCATTCGAGTCAATTTGACACAGTTTGGACTTGGTGACTAAAAATCCAGTGTTTTTTGCCAGCTGGTGTCTCATAAAAAGATTTCTTTCACTTTAAACTTGTACTTGTACATACATAGACGTAGAGCAGTATCGGATCAAGGATGCAGGCACTCCTGTACAATTGCGGTCCCGTTTGCACTTAGTGTCCCTGTAGTAGTGTGTTTCTTATTTAGAGATCTAAACAATTAAAATTATAGCCTAGGCTATCTAATCTAGATATATCTAAATATGTGTAGATCTAGATTATATCTAGAGATAGATTTTCTAGATCTAAATCTAGATCTAGATTCACCTCCGCAGCAGCCCCAATAGCTGTCATGTAAACAAACGGGACCGCAATTGTTCAGGAGTGCCGCGGGCCGCGATTTCTTTTGCAAAAAACGGCTAGTTCAGTTTTGTAATGAACTTTTCAAGTCGCACACCGGCTGTTTCTTTCTCATTCCAGCTCCTTTTATTTTTGCATTCTGAATCAATTTATCTCGGTTTTCCGCCAATTTCAATGACAACTCGGCGCGCTAACGTTTCGATGGCCGATCGACACTGTGTTGCTCCACAACAATAAACAATGTGAAACTAGCGCTGGCCGCTGGGCCTAGAAGTACGGAAGTAGAAAGCTACGGGCGGACATGCGCAAACCGCATTTTCGTCTCTCTCCCGGTTCGGTGTTTTCCGCGGGGGGAAAAAGTATGAAATTTGCGACCAAGAGCGGTCCAGCGGAGGAAGGAGGAAAGTTGTGGGAAAAGCTAGATGTAGCGGAGTTTCTGCTATTTAGAGGGAAAGTGGCAGCTATGTGAGATACATCCCTCTTATTGGGGAAATAAACAAGCTAAGCTGTTCCGTGACTCTTGGCAGAAATGGTAACAATGAAAATAGAGGCAGCAATTTGCCTTTAAGCTGTAGCAGGGATGCAAGTGATATTTAGGTCAATTTCTTAGGACGTAATATAACGCGAAAAAGTGGCTGAGTGGAAATAAACAAATTATCCACCAGAAAGGAAAATCATGTTTCTACTGTCTACTAGGGCATTCTCCCCTGCCATCATTCACCGTTTTCTCTCTTCTTTTTTTGGATTAATCAATCAGAATGTACCTCTTCAAAATAATGCTTCCCGGCATATAATAGATAAGGCCTTAACGTAACGCCTTATCTCTGGCAAGCTGCTCCCAGTTGGAACCACTGCGTCTGTGAGTTGCTGGTAGTGGCTCGGACACATTCCTTCACGGTCAAATCGGTTTTAGATTATTGCTGAAAAAAGATTTCTTTTATCGCGAGTTCATTCATCACATGAAGAATTATCAAAACAGGTTCACCTGTTTTGATTTAAGGTCCAGATTAGGTAAATATATATATGTCACTTTACAATTTTGTATGAAAAGAGGGCCTCAGCATCGTGGGTATACCTCAAGGTACAAAAAAAAATGCAAAGAGAAAACATAAGGAACATTCTGATACCTCCAGTGCCATCTCCTTTAGTAAAATCACCACCCTGAATCATGAAATCCTTAATAACTCTGTGGAACTTGCTGCCCTTGTAAGTCAGGGTCTCTCCACCTTTCTGGAAAAAGAAGAAAAAACAAAACAAAACACATTAACTTTACATATTCTAAGGTCAAAAGTACACATTAAAAAATCTAAATATTCTACTTTGAACATTTAATATTGGTACAATTTTTTGGTCCAGAATGACCATTCTCCTACACTCCTACAATATGACCGAACTGATTTCCAGTACAACAGCTTTTCCTTTTAAATGCAGAAAATGAACACTGCAAATTTGTCATATCCTGCTAAACTATTCAGACGTGGTTGTGCAACACTTATCTTGAAACCATAAAAATACATTTTACTTAATTTTAGGAGCGCCCTCAGTGTGGCTGATTTTGGGTAAATCTATGCAAATTGAGATAGGCCGATTTTTGAACATCAACTATTTTCTTGCTAAAAATAGCAAAGAGACAACTGAGAAATCCTTTATTCTCGTCATAAATTGCCTTTGAAAATATGAAGGTGGGTTAAAATATAGTGGATTTTCACAATAATTGTTTTTCTCAAAATATTTTTTCTTTGCAGTTTTCCCCCTTCCTCCTCCTTTAGTAGTTTTTCATCCTTTTGACATGAAACTTTCAAAAAATATATATGGCAGGGCTGCAATCAATGTAACAGGGAGAAATTTGCAGGAAAAAAAAGTAACTTTTCCATTGGAAGGCGATTACGTAACAAAAATTTAGAAAAAGTTTTATATACGCTGGGTAAATTATCTCTTTTTTTTCTTTTACATTTACTGAAAAAGAAACTTGCTGTTACCTTGAGAATGATAGGGACTGGTGCAGATAAACATACTTTCATCAAATTTGGCGGTCCGTAAATAAGAAAGCCATAGAGATTTGAAATTCATACCGTAAATAAGAAAGCCGTATAGTTTGTTTCCAAGATGGCGGCCATTTCCATAGAAATCGCTTTGCCGCAGAGATTTTTTCTTTGCCTAACCTATGTGTACTTAGATTTGATCTTGGGCAACATAGAAAATGGACCTTCAGGGTTTCAGGGACGCTCCTCCCTTTAACTTAGCTGATGAACTATTTGAAGGACTTTTAAGTAATGCCTGTCCACATGAAAATAAATACAACACACATATTATTCATATTATACCTGGAAACCAATAGCCAGTGATTTGAAGTTCTTGACTGTGTCAGGGACGCTTTTTCCAAACAGACCAATTTCAATGCGGCCAGCCTTCTTACCACCAATTTTGATGTCAAAGAAGACCTGTGAAATAAAGTAACATACAAAATCATTTACTTGAAAATGAAATCAATAAACACTGCTTAAAACAAAACACGTACTTTTCTGCTCAATCAATGGTGGGAGCAACAAACAAAATGGAAGAAGGCCGAAGCTATTGGTCATGTTATTGGCTCCCTGGGGGTCCGAATAAGGACAAGATTATTGGCACCATGGGGGTCTGAATAATCACAGCTGTGTGAAATTCCATAACGTGATGGTGAAGTCAACTGACATTACCGAGTGCAAAAATGGATAAAACAACCCACATGAAACAAAGTCAAATTGAGCCAATCATGTTTCAGAAGCGTATAGAGAGGCTATATTTCGTTGCAAACTTGTACATTGGCAAACAGTAGTAGGCCTACGGGAAAACGAGTCAAGTGCATTTGTGCGTTTACGTACAAACCAACTTTAAAGTGGTAAAGTTACCCGAATCTACTCCAGATTCCAGTAGTTTAGTTTCAAAGACTCGGGTATTACAGAAGGGTAGGCCTAAGCTTAAGTCTTTAAGGTGGCTAAAGTATTTTCCTCAACCATTACCAAAATTCAGCAATACAAAAGCAAGGCAACGCTTTACACTCAAATCTAGTGTAGTTACTCTGAGATCAAAAAGCAACTTTAATGCGTAGACTTCCATTAAATTGTTGCATAAATCTAGGCCCTAGAAGTAGAATCAAGCCTAAATAGTGGACCTTATTTTTGGGAGGACTTCCGTAACGAGCAACCACTATGAACAGGGTTTGGGGTAAGGGTTGGGTCAACATGAAGCTACAGCGAGCACCTAGCACACTTGCAATTGGCCCAAATATAGATGACGTATTTCCACCACAGTGGCGGGGCGCTATAGGTGCAAGCGCTCCACCTAACCCTGGCCTTCAACCCCCCCCCCCCCCCCCCCCCCCCCCCCCCCCCCCCCCCCGATCCGTCACCTGCTGGCTGCGCCAGTGAAGAGTCAGGCGGCGAGCGGCGAGGAGGGTTTATGCTCGTCGCACCGCTTGCGGTAGCGTCTGCTGGGAGCAAGCAAAATCTTTGCACCAAAGTTATTTTTGTCACTGTAGAGAAATCGAGGCATCGTTCTTCCCCCACAGGGAGAAAGGTGCATGAAACTGCTCTTCGCCAGGGTTGGTGATTTTTTTGATTTTTTAAATAAAAATTTAAAAAATCGTTTTTTATTTAAATCAAGATTTTTAAAATTTAAATCGGATTTTTAAAATAAGAAAAAAAACACACAAAAAAACGTCGACACAGTTTAGGATTTTTGGTTGCTAAAAGTATGTTCTTTTAGTGCAAAATGCATTGTCTTTATTTTAACTAATGATTAATTTAAGCAACCGCAAAAGAAAGCCTTAATCTGCTAAATATATATGTGACACTTAGCGTGCGATGGGCTATGCCACTAGGTTTCATCGCCGACTGCTTGGACTGTGTGAGCGCATGTGAGCGTGTGTTTGCGCACGCGCTTTGTATGTGTGCGTGTACAACTATGACGAGAAGGTGAATTTATGGAACGAGAATTGCTGAGATTGTTCATAAAAGATTATACCACAAATTATTATTTTTTAAATGTAACAAAACACGGCGAGATGCGAGATCTGTTCAACAGTTAGCCTACTGGCGTGGGAAACTCAAAAACCCTTGGTGGGGGAAACCGCAGAAGATGGCAAAAATAGATCTAAATAATAGATGGCGGAAATAGGTCATCTATGATCTATATTTGGGCCAATCACAGAGGTGTGCTAGGTGCTTGCTGCAGCTTCATGTGTTGGGTCAGGGTTAGGGTAAGTCTAGATCTAGATCTAAAAATCTAGGTCTCTTCTTTACTGGGTTTGTTGTTTGTTTAGTATTGGGTTTTACGGCGCTCGCAACTGCATAAGGTCATATGAGTCGAAACACAAGTTGGTTGCATTCACGACAGTTCATAGCACGGCTTGATTTAGGAAAATATTTCGATTAAAATGTAAACAATTTGTGGTAAAATCTTAGTTTTAAAATAACATTTTAATTTAAATAATATTAAAATAACGAAATTACAGTTTACTATAAAGGCCAATGGCCTTAATAAAATGAATTCTGTTGGGATCAAAGATGGAGAACACATCCTTTAATTTTGAGAATTTAAAATATTTCCTTCGGGCCTCTCCAAAGTCTGAACATTTTGTTAAGATGTGTCTTATCGTGAAATCTGTATCGCATCCATCACAAAAGAAGGGTTTAAATACCCTGAACAAAACCTCATTCTATGTCCCTGCATGTGCAGCTATCTTGAATACATAAACTTTTCAGTAAAAACTTAACTGACCCTGTCATTTTTCCTTGTTTAATAAAATAACAGGGTTCTATTTTGCATATTGGAGATAAAATATTTAAACAACACATACCATGCCCTTGACAACTTTTCCAAAAACAACATGACGGCCATCCAACCAGGGAGTCTTCTTCACGGTGATGAAAAACTGTGATCCGTTTGTGTCAGGACCTGCATTAGCCATGGACAACCATCCAGCTCCATAGTGCTTCAGCTTGAAGTTCTCATCCTTGAACCTGTCACCGTAGATGCTCAGTCCTGAAGAGGAAAGTCGAAAATAAAAACATGAGTGTTTGAGATTGTGACACAAGAACCACTACTATCTGAATCTCTAGGTCTTGTAGAAACACAAAATTTAAAATAAACTGATGGATGGACGAAAAATCATATAAGC